TCGTTTTTCAGTTAAGAGAGAAAAAAAAAAGGGGAAATTTGAAAAGCAAAAGAGTTTGGGTTTAAAATTTTGCAAGAGAATCGAGACTAACCCAAAAGGTTCTTTCAGGTATAAAAAGAAAGATCAGGGCAAGTTTGGCCCACTCAAAGTCCTGGGTCGTCACGACAGTGTAAGGAAAAGTTTTTAAAATTTTTTTAAAAACATATTTCCTCTGTTTTTCACGGAGGATACCAGCGATTTTCCCAGTAATGTAAATTAGTAGAACAGGAGAAAATAAACTTGTATTTTTTGGGTCCAAGTGACATGGCCTTAGGAAAATGATAAATTAAAAATAACAAATCCCCAGGCCTGATAAAATGTTGAAGGGGTTTTTAAAGGAATGAAAAGAGGAGCTTAGCACCCTTTGGCTAATCTTTTTTTAAAAATATCACTACAAAAAATGGCATGGTGCCCGATAAAGGGGAAAGGCAAATGTGATACATTTTCAAAACAGGGGACAGGTCCCTTTGCTTCGAACTATAGCCAATAAGCCTAACCCCCCTAGGGGAAAATTTTTGGTCAATAATTTTTATGAATGGTTTTGAAAACCCACAAGTTGAAGAATTGAGAACTATGCAAAAACCCTGGGAATCTTTATTGAAGAAAATTTTTCCCCCCAGTGGCTTACGTCCAAAACAAAGTAGAAAGGGGGTTTGGAGAGTGTTTAAAATTAAAATGGATGAAATACCGACAGATTGTTAGGTAAAGACCATATGCAACGTTAGGGTTTTTATTTCGAAAAATTTCCCCACCCAGTGGCTTCTTAGTGGACAGAAAAAGGGTTTATAGAAGCAGAAAATACTTGAAGAGATGTAATCGTCCTCACCCTTTAAAAATTTTTAGGTGGTCAGTCCCTCAGTTGGAGAAGGCATTGTTCCGTTGTTAAACCCAAAAGAAATTGAAGTGCAAATGGGGCCTTTTTTTTGTGCCAGGAGGTGGACGTAGGGTTTCTTTGGGGGGGGCGGTCCTTCTCAAACCCCCGTAGGGAAACGTTTCGAAATAAAGATACCCAATTTGCAATGTGTTTACCCAAAACAAGGAGAGTGAAAGTTGGGTAAATTTGTTCCTCAACCCGGATTCGATTGTTTGTCATCATCTTGAGTAGGTGATGAATGAACAACCCAATCCCGGTTGAGGAACTGATTACCTATACTTCTACCTTCCCTTTCCCATTTTACTTTGTATTGGACTGTTTAAGCCACTGGTGGCGAAAGTTTCTTCAATAAAGATTCCCGTGTTGAAAAGTTTTCTGAATCAATAATTGCCGAGGCGTTCGTAGCCCCTTGAAAAGCTAATTAATCAACGAATCTCGCAGGTTTTACAAAGGGGCTTCTGCTTTTGAATTTTTTAAATTTTTTATAAAGGTATTTGAGGAGGTGTCATGGTAATGAAATGTATTGTGATATGGACTTTAGTAAGGTTTTGACAGGGTCCCCCATCAGGATATTGAGGAAATTAAAGCAATGGAAAGGAGGAGAAATTTTTTCCTGGATAGAGGCTGGTTTACAAATAGGCGCAGGGTTTGCATAAATGGGGAGAAAACAGATGGGGGGAAATGTCCGAGCGGTGTTCCACAGGGGTCAGTGTTGGGCCCCCCTGCTGTTCCAATTACAAAACGACATAGATGAGGGGATAAAGAGCGACATCGGGGAAGTTTGCCGTGACACCAAAAAAGGCCGCAATTCATTCTGACGGGCATTTGAGCACTCCAGGAAAATTTGAATAGATGAGCAGTGGTCGGAGAATGCAATGCGTTTAATTAGACAAATGCAAAGTTTTAAAGTTGGGGCAGGACAAAAACCTGCCACATATAAAATAAATAATGTGATCTTAATTACGGTTGCGAAAAAGTTTAGGGTTTTGGTTTGCGTAATTAAAAAAAAGACAACAGTGCATAAGTGTTCGCAATAAAGTAATAGAATCCTTGGCTTCATATCAAAAGCATAAATAATAGGAGTCCAGGTTGTTCTTAACTCTATAATCCTTGGTTAGGCCCCTTTTTGATTATGCTGCACAGTTTTGGTACCTTTTTACAGAATGGATATAAAATTTTCTGGAAAAAAGTACAAAGGAGGTGCAAAGTTGATCCCTGTTCAGAAACCTTCCCCTTTGGGATAGACTAAGGGCCCCGAATCTGCATTCTAGAAAGACGTAGAAATTGGGGGGGGTAGTTTAGGTGTTAAATGGAAGACAGAATAAAAAAAAGGGGATGTAAAAAAGTGTGCGAAAAATTCAGCCCGACAGGACTCGCGCAATGGTTTTAAATTTGGGAAAAATTTAGATTTGGAAGGATTTTGGAAAGTACTGGTTTTGGGAATAGAGTTGTGGATGGGGGAACAAAATCCCAATACCCTTTTAGAGGCCGAACGTTTTGTAGCTTTAAAATAGGGTTTGGATAAATACATGAGTGGATGTGAGTTAGACCTGATAGCTTGTGCTACCAGGTCGGTTGCCGTGTTCCTCCCTTAAGTCAATGTGACCTGACCTGACTAGGTTGGGTGCATTGGCTTAAGCCGGTAGGAGACTTGGACCTGCCTCGCATGGGCCAGTAGGCCTTCTGCAGTGTTCCTTCGTTCTTATGTTCTTATGTTCTTATAAGGACCTGCCTCGTATGGGCCAGTAGGCCTTCTGCAGTGTTCCTACATTCTTATGTTCTTAACTAGATCACGTAAGAAATGTATATAATTTAGATGACGTTAATTTATTCGTCAGGAAAAGAATCCTGGCACAAGTGTTTAAGTTTTATATTTAGAAGCAGTAAACTGATTATACAGCTGCTGGGGGAATGAAAGGCAATCAGACTCGATCTAAGTTTAATTCCTTAGATCAAGAGCCCTTCTCCAGCATCAAGGAACTTTTCTTGAGGGGAAAACCTGAATAAAAACTCCTAACGTTCAGAGTGGGTTAGGTAAGGTTAAGTTAGTAGATGAATGGCTCAGAGAACCGACATGTTGATAAATTAGACACATGTGCAACTCTTGGGTATCTTTATTGAGGAGTTGCACATGTGTCTAATTTATCAAGGTTAAGTTAGGTAAGGTAAGGTAAGGTAAGGTTAGGTTAGGTAAGGTTTGTAGGAAACAGAACTAGTGTTTCCTGACGAGGGTTTTAGCCATATGACCCACAGCTGGAGCTTTTGGCCATCTGACCGAAGCCTTCCACTGGCTTACCCCTTTAAAAATTATAATTATAACCATAATTCACATTATTATTATTATTATTACAATCAAGGGGGAAGCGCTAAACCCGGAGGATTATACAGCGCCTGGGGGGGGGGGGATGTGGAAGGCATTCAGGCTTAATTTGGGGAACTGGAGCACAGATCCAATTCCCTAAATCAAGAGCCCCTCACCAACATCAAGGAACCTTCCTTGAGGGGACCATAATTCACAGAGTGGGTGTGGCCTACCAGGAGAGTGTGGGAGAGACTGGTGGCAGGAGGATGGATGTTAGTCTCAATGATACTATCCTGGAGCTTCTGCTGTAATCTTACGTCAATTCTGGCTGTTCGTTACATCCCACAACCTTACCAGACTTTCCACGACTTGATCACTGACCCCATCACCAGTCTTGTAGTGGAAGGAGATACTGCGGAGGCTCACTTCCTGACTGTAATGTTCTCACTCTTCTTTTTACGTAAATGATAATTATTTTAAGGAATGTAATATCCAGTACTTGTACGTAATTCGCAAACAATAGATTATAAAGGGTAAATAGACTTGATATTATTACAGTAATAAGTGCTAAACCCACAAGGGAACAAGCTTAATAATCTTGAACATTAAAATGGTATAAAATACCGACAGGTTGTTAGGTAAGGCACATATGCAACAGTTAGCTATCTTTATTTCGAAACGTTTCGCCTACACAGTAGGCTTCTTCAGTCGAGTACAGAAAAGTTGATAGGAACCAGAAGAAT